CGCAGTAATCACCAGAGCAGAAAACAAAAAAAAAAAAAAAAAAAAAAAAAAGAAAAAAGGTTTCACCTGGTTCTTTTCCCCCCAAGGGCCAGTCAAGCCGTCTGGGGCTGAGAGTTGACTGAGGACGAGGAGGAGGAGCAGGCGCTCGCTGTGCACATGCTGCCCGCAGAGACACGGGCGCTGAGGAGGAGCCGCGGCCGCTGCTGGCTCCGTCGCCAGCTCAGCTCAACCCCTTTGCTAGCGACGGGCAGAGCTGATGAGCCAAAAACCAAGGGGGGAAGTCAATGGGGAGCACGAGTGTAGCAGCTTGCCCACCTCCCTGCGGCCCAAGCACCTCCCACACGAGAAACGGCCAAGGCAGGCAAGATTCAAGAGTTCTGGAGGCCCCACAGAGGCAGATACTTCCCCTGTTACCTTCTCAGGAGGTGGAAATGTTTTGTAACCAAGCGCTTAAGAAGACAGAAGGCAATTTTTTTGCTGGAAAAACAAAATGCTTTTCAAGTCACGGAGACGTGCGTGTTTAAAGACCTGCTACAACTCGAGGTTGACAAGAAAACAGCCAAGCAATTTTTAACCTGTCTTGAAATCTCTGCTGTGAGAGAGGAAACACTGTGGAGTTCACTCGACATTGCAAAACTTTCTCTTGGTATTTTTGCAGTGGTGCAAAATTTCAGGAGGGAAAAATAAACCCTACAAAACAAAGGCAGTCTAGACCATAGTGTGTAACAGGATGAGAAGAAACAAAAATATATTCCCTTCTCATATTTCTCTCTTTCATAGTTCATATAGCCCTGTTGCTGGGGTAAAAGCTGCTATAAAGCTCTTCCCTAAAGATGAGGGCAGAAGAAAACCGGCAAAAATTTGAGCCGGTTGTGCTAATCCCATTTCATTGAACAGGGTGGCTTTTCCCTTGGCCCTTTGCAAAAGAAAAGGATGTTGAATTTGGAAATGAAATCCAAAATTATGTTAACAGAGGGAAGATCTTCAAAATGCCAATGTGCAAGCGGACAAAAGAGGCCCAGTGAAATCCCAAGGAAATCTGGGAGGTCACTCAGTGCTTTCCTCTGCTGCAGAGCAAAGCCCCTGAACCACTGCTGCTCTGAAGGTTTGGTAATCCCTATCCCTGCGGATTCTGGAAAAATAAGGCCAGCAATTTATTCAAGGACTTCGCTCTTCCTAGAGCTCAAAACTTCCTTTTAAATCTCCCTTGCTGCAGGTTAAGCCTCTGGGACATTCCCATCTTTGGAGGGACCTTATTCAAGACTTCCATTTCGCCCTAAAAAAATTCTTCTTTAGAGTACAGGAATCCTTGATATAAAGCAAAGAAATCCATTTTCAGGCTTGCTTTAGAAAAAAGGAGAAATGAGAGTAATTAAGAATCTGCAGCAATAAACCTCTTGGAAAAACTGAGCTCAGCACAAGAGCAGAAAACTGCAAGGCTAATGAAAGGCACAGGGATTTTAGTTGCTGTTTTAGTTATTTGTCTTCCTCCTCTTTTTCTTTTTTTTTTTTCCTTATTTAAATTATATATATGTGTGCATGTGTGTGTGTATTTGCTTTTCCAGGGAGAAAGCAGGCAAATGCAAACAGCTGCTCCGATGTGCAGACATCTCCCCTCTGGTATCTTCACTTCATCTGGCCATTGATTTGAAACACATTCAAGTAACAGAATATATATACAGCTATCATATGGATTTTATACAGGAAAGCAAAATTCTGCTCAAAATATGGCCATTTGCAGAATTTAGTAAATAGTTTTGCAGTGTAGCAGTAGCACAGATCACTGTTTATAGAGCTGACTGAAAATAAAAGTATTTACTACAGTAAGCAAGTGCATAATGTCTAGCCATGTGTGTGTGTGTATATATATATTTATATAATATATATGCCTGGATACATTCCCACTAACATGCAGAAGGCTCCTCTAAAATAAAGCATTGCATTTTCTTGAGAATGTTTTTGACCATAATACTCACGAAAAAAAGGCTTTCACTGCTATTTCAAAGAGTCTTTTTGCTCCATGTTCTCTTTTCTGGAACAAACTCTGTCCTCCTTCACTCACCGTCACCCCTGCCCTTCCCACCAAAGAAACCCCCCAAAGAAAAAGCCAAAACCACAGTCTAATCAGACAAGCCAGACTGAATTTAGGAAGACAAGGCTGTAGCAAAAATAGGACTTTGCACTGACTGGGAAAAGAAGATTTCAGGTAGATGGATGTAGCCCTACTCTGGGAAAAGACCTTTGTTTTTCTAGAACTGAAGGGCGAGAATGCTTTAGATTTAATCAGATGACTTGCACATGGCCTTGAGGATCCTGAATACAGAGTATGGATTACTAAGTTGCATGAATTCTGCACGCAAAGAAAATAGTGGCATGAGTAGGAACCACTGGTTTCCCAGATCAGGTGGAGGCTAAGAGGCTGTTCTAATCTACACTGTGAGAATAAACTGTGGTTATCTCCAAAATACATCCCCCTTTCTGCAGCCAGAGTGGCTTCAGACAGCCAGAATGACCCTGCAGACCCAGGATCCAAAAACACATAAGCAGCAGTACGTCTACATATGACTTCCCTGCTTTACATTAAATTAAGGCTCTGTTTAAACATGGTTTTGGTTGAATGAGTTTCCCTCTTCATGTTTAAGCAAACCCAAAAATCCCGCACCTCTTCTATTGCAACCTTGCAAATCCGTAGCTGCAACTGAAATCACTATATTGAGAATCACCAGCCTTTTAGCAGAGGAAAAGAAAACAAAATTGGAGATCTAAAGTAGGAATCCAAAGACTTCCTCTCCTTTCCCAGTGTTTTGATTAGAAAATGCACATTTGCACCAAGTTTGTGTGCAAGGGCTGTACTTACCGGGCTCGTCGCTGGAGAAGCAAACCTGGGCATTTTGCATTCCGGCAAAAATTGCAGCATTTTTGAGGCAGCAAAGCTGCCCTTAGGGGCTGCTCGCAGCAGCACTCCATTTGTGCAAGCTTTGGTACGTAAACCCAAGCAGGTAAACAGCAGCCCCAAGCTCACAGGGCTAAAAATATAAGCTCCATTTACATTTATAAATATGTATATATATCTCCATAAATATATACACACTCCCTTTTCAAAGTTGGCCTTTATGTTGTGCCACCGCTCCCTGCAAGCGGGGAGGCAGCTCCTCACATCCCCGCACGGGACGGCCGGCTCCGCGCGGCCGGACACCCTCCGCGTCCCGCGAGAGAAGCCCGGCCGGAGCAATTAGTAGCGCAGGCAGGAGCGTCCGTGGTGTCATGCAGAACTAGTCCGTTATGTAACGGGGGAGGGAGAGGGAGAAACGGAGACCAAGTGCATCTGTACCCACCCAATGAAGTTGCCAAATGCTTCTGTTTATGTGAAATCCCTTGGGAACAAAGTGGGTATGTTCTCAAGCTACTGCTTTTTGGAAAGTTCCTTGAAATTAATGAAGGGGTCATTCAAAATAAGTTAAAAAATAGAAAAGCTAAGAGCTGGCTGCAAGCTGGAGGAGAAGCTCATGTTCTACCAGCCTCGTACCTTCAGCTAGGAACGTGCCCCGTGGCTCTGCAGCACTTTGAACTTATTACACATGTGATAAAGGAAACAGAAGCCCTCGCCACAATATCCTGGTTTCCACTGGCAGGTCAACAGGGAAAGGACTAGCTAAGCAAGCTGGTGTTGGAGCAGCCACGGGTTTGGATCTGAGTTTGCTCCTAAAGATCTGCCCCATTTCCAATAGGCAAGGGGCTCGACACCCCTCGCGTTGGACAACCTGCTTGGCAGGGCAGCGGGCTGTCCCGGGAGGGGGTTTCTTGGGCATTTTCACCCTCATTAGCCAGAATGCACCTGGTTTCCATTTCCTGACGTGAGCGTGGGATCAGAGAGGACGGCGGGATATGGAGCCTTACTGTACTTCTCCTCCTTGCATCTCTGCAGGATCTCTAAGCTCCTCTGATGCACTGGGTGATGGAGAAAGCTAAAACTATCCACACTTTTCAAAACCGCACACGGCACTGCATCATCATGCCCTTGGGAAGCAAAATAAGAGAAAATAAGAGAAAGATTACATGAGCAGACATAGGGAGAGAGCAGAGAGCAATGCTGCCGAGGACCCGAGCAGCGCGCCGCGCTCCAGCGTTGCGCTTGGGCCCGGCCCGCAGCGGCTCCGCGGCGCAGGGCCACGACGCGGCTTCACTTCAGTTACCTCATGACAAAGCACCAGGGCACGTGGATCACTGAAGAAATGTTGGTGCTCTGCTCCAGAGGAGCCCGCGTGCCTTGTGCCTGGAGGGACATGTCCCATGAGCAGCAGGAGATATCAGCTCTGTTGCTCCTTAGGATATTTCCCAGCCAGAGCACAACAACTTTGCAACTGCTCCAGGATTGGTTGAACAAAAAACAAGAAAACATCGAGATGGCACCAATCTTGGCTTTTGTTAACTCCTTTCCTTGCTCCTCCCAGCTGTTAGCCACGGAGTCCTGCATGGATGCTCACCAGCGTGGCCACCTCCAAATCCAGTGTGGTGTCAAACCACGTCTTGTAGAGATTTGACCATTAAAACCAGAAATATTAGCAAAGAGCCAGGATTCCTTGAGAGAACAAGGAGTGGATCGGGGTGGGATTGCTGGGGTAGGAGAGGGCACAGCTGGAAGGAGCAGGCGGAGAAGTCGCCTTGTCAAGGAGGGACGTGGCACAGGGGTCACATCTCCATCATCATCGAAATGCACAAGGAAAATGAAAAAAGCCGATTCTGATCGTGCTCTGGTGTGATGAAAGCAAAGAGCCAGGATTCCTTGAGAGAACAAGGAGTGGATCGGGGTGGGATTGCTGGGGTAGGAGAGGGCACAGCTGGAAGGAGCAGGCGGAGAAGTCGCCTTGTCAAGGAGGGACGTGGCACAGGGGCCACATCTCCATCATCATCGAAATGCTCGAGGAAAATGAAAAAAGCCAATTCTGATCGTGCTCCGGCCAAGGTGTGATGAGGTCACTGAGGTGTTACCTTGAGTCAGCACATCCCAAAGCATTTCACACCAACGCAGAAAGCATCAACCTCAACTTTACAGAGGAACACTGTCAAGTAGCATCTTTTTGACATCAATATCCCTTTGCATTGTTCAACACAGGATCTGTTTTCTGTTACCACCTTTATCCGGCAAACATAAAAATATATATATTTTTTTTATAGGTGTATGTATGTAATTCCTTAGGGTTACATATATTATTCCTTAATACTCCCAAGTCAATGGGTGTATTTGAACACGACCCCTTCACCACTGTTAGGCCCTGCGTTCCCATCCCACTTTGCAAAATGACCCCAAAAAGGCAGCAGAAAGCACCGATCTTCACGGGCTCGTTTATACCAACGCCTCCCGTTCTAGCTTTTCACGGGGGAATTACTGGAAGTGCTGGCATAGGGAATGCAGCCTGACAAGACAGCAGAAATGCCTGTGGGGCAAACCGATTTGCTGAAAGCCTTGAGAATGTTCCTTTGGTTCTCTGTCACCCCAGCACAGCAGGGGGGCAAGCAGGGACAGACACCGGTGCCCCTACGCACCAGCACGGCTCAAGCAGAGCACGGAGGAGCTCATAGCACTGGTGGGCACTACCGGCGTAGGCAAGGAGACTGCTTGAAGTGGCACGGGGAGGGGGAAAAAGAAAAACCAGATCATTTTTTGCAGCGTTTGGTAGACCCAGGCTAGAGATTCTGCAGAAAAGGCTCAGCTCGGCATCGCAAGCGCGACTCCGACGGCCTGCAGACAGGTACAAGCAGTGTGGATCAATCTGGGTCTAATGCAAAAGAATAGAGGCACACTTTTTTTTTTTTTTTTTAAGAACATTTTGAACATTTTTCCCTTTTTTACTTACACCTGTCTGTTGGAAGACAAGAATTAGAAAATGTGGCTTATTGGAAGATATAAAATGCATGCAGGCACGCTTGCAAGAAAGGATGTAGGGCATAAATGCATGTGCAGGAAGCTGTTCCTAGCTGATCTCCAGGTGATTTTGTCACCAGTTGCAGGTTCATGGCCTCAGTGCTTGAAGCTTTCAAATCAGGCTGGTTAGAGCCAGCAAGGGTTGGTTAAAAAAATAAAATAAATTTAAAGCATGTGCTGCCTTCCATTGCGTGTTTCTTTTTCAGAACCAAAACGGGTTAATTCTACGTCCAGGGAATTGCTTCCTAATTAACCAAATAGCTTCTGCCATGGATGCAACTGCCCAAATGAGCAATTTGTGTTTTTTACAACCTGTTTTGGAGACCGGGGGCACAATAGTTTTGATTAACATGAGGTTGCAGTGGCCAAATGAACCTATCTGCAGCCTGTGGCTTCTCTCAGTTTTATAGGCAGGGATAGTGCAAAAAAAAGGCCAAAAAACCCCCACCAAACAACCCTGTATAGCTTCTGCCATGGATGCAACTGCCCAAATGAGCAATTTGTGTTTTTTACAACCTGTTTTGGAGACCGGGGGCACAATAGTTTTGATTAACATGAGGTTGTAGTGGCCAAATGAACCTATCTACAGCCTGTGGCTTCTCTCAGTTTTATGGGCAGGGATAGTACAAAAAAAAGGCCAAAAAAACCTCACCAAACAAGGGGATTTTGTCACTCACAGGGATGCAGAAAACATTCTATAGGTGCCAAAGCAC